CCAACTGTAACATCTAATTCAAATTCCGTTGGATATATCTTTCACGTCATCTTCATCTAATACCAATTATGAGTAGTTTGCAAAAGTTGAAATGTTGCAAAAACTATTAGGTTTCGGCATGTTGAAAAACAGACTGTTACATTTAAAAAAATGTATGCTTTATTAGTGGCCCTTTTTTGAGCCTTCCCGTATGCTTGATTTTAATATTTAATATTTTTTATATTTACTATTTTCTCATAACTTTTGAAACCATAAGCATAATTAACTTTACTCCATCTTTGAATCATCCTCTACAGAAAATATGAAAAATAATTAATTTTATATTGCATAACTTTATCATTGTATTTGAAATGTTGAGTAATTTCAGATTGATTTGAATTGTTTTATTTGGACATCAGGAATATGTCTATAAATATCATGCTGGAAGGATAATGGGAAACCCCATTGCTACGCTGGTATAGTTCGAAATCTGAATAATTTTTTATTAACAGGCGAAGAAACAAAATACAAGACCGTTTTGACGAATTGCTTCTAAAAAAGACCTTTAATTTATTTCCAGTTCTTTCGTTAAGCGTCATCTATATAATAGTTGATCCAATACAATCAGCAACTTGCCGCTTTTACCGTAATTGTCAATTAAATTAAGGTTGATATTGTAGATACGCCGTTATTTACAATAATGAAAAACAATCAAACCTCGCTACGAATTCTATTTGTTTTGTTCGTAATTTTCCGTATCGGGTAAATAACTTCCGTGCGGCTAATACACCTTTTTAAATCCACTTTTGAGTGAAGTTTCACGTATCGACATGATTGAATTTCTTCCCGTTCGTGTTTACGTTTTCCAATAAAGAAAAAGGAAAAAGATTTGATCTCGAATTAATCCAGTCCAATTTCCGTTCTGAAGGGCCCCCTTATTGGTCAGGACTTTCCAAGAACAAGGGATTGACAGGGGCGATTTAAAACTACCTCAAAGTCTCCAGATATACAAATAGGATTTTTTTTTATTCTATATACATCAGACCCCCCTCTTGTTAGGCTTTCGAAAAGTATTTCAATAACATTATTGATATTGGTCTCAGTGGGACGTACGTACGTCCACGTGTCTCCCCTAGGCCCCCCTTTTGTTTCACCCGGTCGGTGTCGCAAAAATCGAGTGTGCCTCTGGCCCCGATGCAACTTGACTATTTTCATGGCGGACTAACTGTACAATAGACTGTCGCAAAAAGTTATTAGCACTGGTTTAAGGACTAGAGACGCGACACGGATTATTTCAAGTGACACTCTTTCGTACAATTAACTTCTTAATGCGCAGAATATTGTTGTGACGCGTACTCGAGTATCCATTTTAATCTATTTGCCTGCTATGCTGCTGCACTCGCGATAAGTACTTTTCCTGCTTCGGGTTACAATGTTTTATGCAAATGTCGTATATAGACGTTTCCGAACTTAACAGTGGAAAATTTTATTAATTATCGAGACGACCCTTAATCTAAATGCAACGCTAATTGAGAGTCGCTTCATCAATTAAAAACAAATATGGATACAAATATACTTACAAGCAGAGTGAAACTTTTTATTAACAAAGTACGTTTTTTAAACTAACATAGTATCTTGAACAAACATAAATAAACGAAATCTATCATGGGTAATTCTAAGTCATTTGTAAAACGATAGTAAATTAAACCTAAACGGATAATTTAATTAAAAATTAATATAAAGTACCACTTTTTCAAGGTAAATAAGCGAAAAATAAGTTTAACAGGGCGGAATTATTTGGCTAATGAGCGTTTTAAGACAATCATTGCAAAAATATTTTCATTTTATTTGCTGGACTTATTTTATTAATTATAAGCTATTTTCATACTATCTTTACTTAAAGAGTTGGAATCTTTTTCACTCGAGTTTTGCAACAATTATGGCATTGTGGTTTCTTGGGGATTTTGCCTGATGTTTGGCGAATAGCAGTTACTAAAAGCTATTTATTGGATGATAATTAAAGGCTATTTGCCAAACATCACAGACAAGTTCCTAACGAAAAAACAATACCCCTGTTAAACTTATTTTCAGCCTAGTGCTAGCTTAGTTTATAATTATATTACCAGTTTCTCCTCCTTTTATAAATTATCTAGAATTAACCATGATACCTTTTGCGTTTATATAGATGAATTTTTGACATGTAACTTTGAAAAAGTTATATTCTTAATGAAACATGCCACTTGTAAATATATGTGAAAATCCTAGTATACAGCGTGTTTTTCAAAAACCATTTTAGACTATTAATTACTATAGACAATACCTATACTAAATTATTGTGCCTGATGTTTGGAGAACAACAGTTATTAAAAGCTATTTGTTTGATAATAATTAACGGCTATTAGCCCAACATCATAAACAAGATCCTAAAGAAAAAACAATATCCCTATTGAAGTTCACGTAGTGAAAGAGCTACCTTATATTAGTTTATAATTATATCACCGGTATAGCTATAATTTTCCCTCCTCTTATAAATTACCTAAAATTAACCATGACACATTTTGAGTTTATATAGATGAAATTTTGACATAACACCATGCCACTTTGAATAAGTGTTAATGAAACATGTCACTTGTAAATAAATATATGTGAAAGTCCTAGTCAACAGCTTGTTTTTTATAAACCATTTCGGAAAAATAATTACTATAGACTATTACTTATGATTCAACATTTCAACATTTCGAATTTCAAGCTGCCATTGCCTCGGGGCACCGCTTCATTTTCCAAAGTATTTGTAAAATATGGATTATGACCCTTAATGACTATTTAACTATTTCAGACTGATTTTAGTTTTTTGAAAAAAAAAACGAACACTAAAATTTCGATTCTGGCGACGTTGAAACTGACGATTCTATGTCGGAAATTACTTTTAGCGTATAGCAATCGCGAAACCCTTTTGTGCAGCTAATAATACACCTCGTTCGTTTATCGCAACCTAGATCGCGTTCCGTTTTTCTTTTTCAGCGATTCCCGGTTACATTATTTATTCGAGAAAGACACAAAGACTAAAGAACATGTTCGAAAGATAAACCAAAATGTCAAATTATTCATTTCGCCCGTCCCCAAAACCGAAGTGTTCATAAAGATAACAAGCCGGCTTGTCTCGTTGAGCGTGTTTTTGTTTTAAATTAATTGCATCCAGACACAATTGTGTTGACGAAAAAGTGAGTTTCGACCGAAAAAGAACGAAAGAGACTTGTATTTTGTCGGTTTAATAATCTCCCCCACGCCACTCTTATGCTTTGATCCCTTCTACGGATTTTAATTCAATTTGGGAGACTACGGAATTTATTGTGACGTCTTTGTTATACGCATCATACGCATTCTAACATATTCTGATATAAAAATAGACAAAAGCAAATGTTTTCTGATCCCGACAATTTATCAATATTACAGTACTTTTAAAGCCAATAATATTTTTATATAAATCTAAGTCAACAAATTCGAATTAAATACAGATTTTAATTTATATTTCTGCAACGCTAAATATCAAATTCTAGCTACAATCTTTTTAACTGAACCTTAGCCTTTTTTAGAGGAGAAATTAGTCCGAACCTTCTATTTTATTGATAATGTTTGATGTCCTTTAGGCAATAGTCATTTTTTATTTCCATGTACGACACTGTTCGAGTTTAAGATTAATTTTTTGTCCACAATTACATAAAAGATAAAGGTAAAATGCTTATGAGTAGTTACCATCAGATGTTAGTAATAATTATAAAATTATAACAATAACAATAATAATAATAACTATATACTATATATAATAACAATATACTATCAATCAATTGCAAGAACAAAGGCGAAGTTGAAGTCATATCTCACTAAAACCTAGTAATGAGTAATTTTTTTTGAGAATGAGGCGATATAATGTAATTATGCCTTAAGTCCAACTGATAGGTACCATATGTAGGTTTAATTTTTTCAAATTATTATTCAGAGCAAATGTTTCTGATTTTCTTTTTAAATAGTACTAAACTATGATAATGCCGGCTTTCCAGGATGTTGAATCTGCTTCTTTCCCTCATTGTAGCACTAACTTCCCGGCTAGATACGTCTTGCGTCACAGTCTAGAAAGCTATACGTACTGTCACAAAAATTAAGATGCGATTAAGACTAAACAATCGCATAATGTTTTTTTTTTTAATTACAATTAGTTTAAGATCGCAATCCCAAGTAAATGGTACTAAGCTATTTTTGGATTAATTTTCAAACAATGGTTAACCAGTAATTTGCCTCATGGATGTTTTCTGGACGAAACGGCGAGTACAATTAATTAAATGTAATTTTGAGTTAAAATCATATTCAGGGGTTATAACATCAAGAATATCGTAAATAATAGTACACCTACCAATTTAAATGAAAAATTTGCCGAAAAGAAAAATTGCACATTATTCCAAAATGTTGTAGTAGCATAGCACTTCTTTTATGTAAATCATTTCAGATATATTATGTTAAAAACATTGACGTACATCTTTTGATGATAATAGCACGTGACGTGACAATAATGGCTTTTAAAGTATTGCTACTGCTTTTAGCATTTACCTTTTTATGATTTTGTGACTATTATAGTGGGACGCCTTTACTCACCATCACCAAAACTTGCACCAATAAACAATGCATGTAATATAAAAGTCAGCAGTTAATTGCAACTGAAAACGTAATTATAGATCATGCGACAGTTTATGCAGTACCTTGGGATGCCTTATTAGCTGGACGGGATTAAACTTGACAGAGGATTTTTTTTTCCAATACAAATTAGTTACGAAGCGGCCAGTGGGACGTCGGGTTCATATAAATTTTAAAATTTATGCCTTAACGCAATTTGTGTTACGGGCTTGAAAGGCGACCGTAGACAATCGATACGTTTACTTTATCTTAACGCAACAATGTAGCGATACTGCCGTGACGCCGGTAGCAAGGATTTGGTCGCACTCGTCATAAAACCATTTCAAAATGCCTACCTTTATCGCAAGTCAATTTCCTTTTGCTTAACGATCCTTTACTCAACGTGCGACGCAGTATGGGTGGTAGCGTGTGGCCTTTGACCGTCTTTTTTACTCATGCAAAGCTATTTTCGACTCCAAGTCGAGTCGTTCTCGCTCCTTCACTTTTCAAAGACATGTAGAGATAAAAAACGTCAGCGGTGAGCTGTGATCTGCAATAGATATTACACTTAAGAAGACGAAAAAAAAACTAAGAAAATTAAAAACAACATTTCTTCCGTAAAAGGGGTAATTTTTAGGATATCGTTACGCCCTAGTATATGTACCATAAATAAAATGAAAAAATTAAAAACACAACTTTCAAAATGACCGCATTGGAACTACCAGCAGAAACAAAATCTATCTTGTAAAATAGTTTTCTTATAGTTATGAAAAAAAATGCAGCTGCGAATCGACGAAGCTGCACGAAAAAAATTAAAAAAACTCTTTACATTTAAGGCAACAGCTTGAGGTTGAAACCGATTTTCGGATGAAATTGGACATTAGACTTAAATAATTATTTTGAAATGGAATGCTAAGGTCAAGGTTTCATCACTAATTTAAGATTTGGAATAGCAGTTTTCTATTTTATTGAAAGGAAGGAAAAAAGAGTTTTAACAATTTTTGGAATTATTTTTTTTTACCATAAACCTAAGTGTCACGTATAAAACTTTTACTGGGATGTTAAAATTTATAATATTTCAATGTAAACGATCAACTTGAAATTTTTTTTATTGGTTTTGATTATACTGCTTTTGTTATTCAATAGCAACAATTGATAACATCTCCGACGCCGATATTTAAAAAAATATTTATTTCATGGAAAAATTAAAGTTTATTTGCTCACATTGTCTTAAAACATTTACGGCAAAAACCATGTATTTGATGTATGTATTCATTTAAATTTTAGTTTTTTTCATAGATATTTTCCTAATGAAAGCGGTAATGGTATTTCTTAATTTCGATTTCAGTTGGTTGCCATCAAGGTTAGCAACGACATTAGTTTTTAAATGGCGAGCAGGATTTTAATATTACTAATATATCATTTTAATGTTATTAATATGTAATTTTAATATTTTATATAACTAGAAAAAAACTTTGTATATATTTTGAGAAAAATGAAAAAAAATACAGCGATTTTAATGTAATAAATATAATATAATAATTAATACAATAAAGAAATAATAAATAAAATATTATCCATACGATAAATTGTCGTCTTTTACTAAAATAAATTAAGATTAATTTTAATATGTGCTGAAATTAGGTTCACTGACTGCCTCTGCGGTTATTAGATAGGGCATATAGGGCGTTTTACAATTTTGAAAATTGCCGATAAATGTTTCGATTTATAAAAATGTCGTGCACATATATTTTAGTGGCCAAACTTCAGGTTTAATTTCAAGGAATAATTTAAAATGTATGATGAGCTGATGATAGTGTTAGGGCTGCTCAATTGACCAGTCAAATTTGATCATGTATTTTATAATAAATTATTATGCGCTTGGGATATCCGGCTTCAAGGAATATTGAAATACGATACTTTGCGATTCGGGGATGTAACGCACAATATAAATAAATAAATATTTAATTGTATTTTTAAAATAATTTTGGTCAATAGACACAAACAAATTTGACCGCTCACTAATGATTTAAATTCATGGAGTAATTTAAAAGTGTGTATATATAAGTCTGTATATTCTATATGTGTTTAATAGAATATCTTATTCCGATTACAATGATGTAACTCACTTTATATTTTACTCCACTCGTTTTTGACAAATAGGCAACAAGATGAAATTTTTATATAATTTCAAAGAGTGCTTTAAGTGACTGCAATAACAATAAATATTTACAAATTAAAGTAGAACAAAAACACTAAAAATGGCAAGACACATAAAGTTAAAATTATTTAACTATTCTAAATGCTGCTGTATGTCACCAACATTTTCCTGAATACATTTCTATGTGCCCCCATTAGAAAAATCTGTTCGCTGACCATTCCATAGTTTCGCCTTTCCCTATCCAACCCATAGGATATTCCATGTTAAAAAAAAATTAACTTGCACAACATTGTAAGGACGGGCACCGTTTTGCTGCCATATATCAGTGCTTATATACTTAGGGACAAACCTTCTATATATTGTTCTATTTGGTGCTCTAAAAGTTGCAAATAATGATCTCCAGATAACTTTTGATCTATAAATATCGGACGCAAAATATGCCGATCAACGCCACCACACCATACATTAATTCATTGGCACCCCTGGGTTTTTATTTCGTGTATTTGTCTAGGATTATTTAAAGCCCAATATAGCATATTAACTTTTTTTCTTGTAGTAAATATTGCGTCTATTGAAAAAATCCAAACAAAACTGCATCCTCCTTTACGTTACCGTTTTCTGCAAATTTCCTTGCCAGCCTTGGAAATATCTGTTTTGATAGAGCTCGGCGCTCTGGATAAAGTCTAATATACTGACGACGAGCTACGGTTGCTCTTTAATTATTTAGAAAGTGTACTTTCACGGATGCTAAATTCGCAAAAAACCATTTTAACAATAATAACTTGGACAATAATTCAACCATCAAGGTTATTTACTAATATGTCAAACATAAACATATTTTTATTTGTCAGTCAGAGCACTCTTAGAAATTATATAAAAATTTCCTATTTTTTCCGATTTATATATAAATATAGAGTTTGTTAAACCATTGCAATCGGAATAAGATATTCTATTAAACACATACATAATATACAGGGTGTTCCATTAAAAAAATATGATGTAGGTTTATATGTCAGAAAATTGATAAGTGCTTTGTTTTATGCGTCACTTGGAACAAAACTTGGCTACTACATTTAGTTTTTTTGTTTACCTTGATATCTCAAAATACAAAAAAGTTACAGGGAATTAAAATGTTATCAATGCTATTAATATTAAACACTTTTCAATTTCATTAGATTTTGGGTTCTTAAACGTTATTTTCAAAATTAAAGTTAAATTATATTTAAATTAGAATATCCGGGTCTAAATTAATATACACCCCCATTGTCCAAATTTATATAGATAAGTTTAAAGTTATCGCCTTGCGTATCAGAAAAACGTTTGGCCTTATCGTTTACAGCACGGACAATCCGTATCCAATTTCAACAACAATAATAAAAACAATGCCGGCGTATCAGGAGAGTGTTGCATGTATCAAAATTGTTTTGTTTACCAAGTTTAATGAACAATGTCTAGCCCGGCACTAATGCCCGCGTCACGCTTGGCTGAACAGCGTGAATCAACCGCGTGGTGCTTTTATGAGCGTCGGGACGCTCCCGTGCGAGGCGACGTCTTCTTAACGCTAGCCGCCGTAATGTTTCGGTAATGATCGGCGACACATCGGAAAGGGTTACAATGACAAACGGCATGGGGGCCGCGACTAAAAATAACCTTCCATATGCAAATTCTGCGCGCAGTTATTCACCCATTTACACACCCCTATGGATTCGCGGGAGAAGAAAACATCTTTTGAGTCACGTTTTTGTATGTTTGCCGTTGCATGACAATAACGCGGATAAAGCTAAATGTTTTTCGAGGGGGGAGGCGGTTTTTGCGATTGGCTCCAGACCCACGCCTATATTCTTTAAAATAGAAACCTGTATTGGTAATGTATACCAAATTTTTACAAATAGTTACAAATGGCCATTATTAAAGCTCTTGACGAAGCAGCGATGGAAGCTATTGGAGAAGTGGACAGTAAAAATAATAGAAATGAATGGAGGAATAAACAAATGCAGGAAGGACGAAGAAAGTTATGTATAATAAGTGGTTAGCAACACTATAAGAAAGCTTTAGGTTAAACTTGCTCTCTCCGGAAAGATGGGTAGAATATTATGCAAAAAAATTGACAGAAGACCGAGCAGAATTTCAAGACATTGTCCACGAAAAACATGATAAGGTCCTAACAAATTATTTCAATTATTATACCTACAGAATGGAAAACTACATTCATCAGCAATATATACAAGAATAAAGGTGACAGAAAGGACTGTTCAAATTACCGGGGGCTTAGTGTAACCAACTCAATTTGCAGGTTGTATGGGAGATAATTAAAAGCAGAATTGAAAATCAAAACAGCTTTCGTGCTAGGCGTTGTTGTGTAAACAACGTGTTTAGCCTAAAACAAATATTAAAAAAGCGTTTGGAACGGAATATGGTATTTATTTTAATCAATCATCAATAAACATGGTATTTATTGATCCCATTAACTAAATTATGAAAAGTATTAGAAGGCAAGAAAATTCCACTGTTATACATTAATACAGTGAAGGAGTTATACGACGATATCACGAGTCTAATAAAGGTTGGGCAAAAAGTACCCAGAAGGATAAAGGTAACCAAAGGACTTCGACAAGGCTGCTGCATTGCACCTACAATCTTTAAGATCTATTTGGGGGGGCTTGGAATTCTGGAAAAGAAAATGTGAACCGATGGGTATTGCAATCGAAGATCATAAGCTTTATAGCCTTCATTTTGCAGATAACCAATTAATATTTGCAGAAAATGAGGAATATATTTGCTACAAGTGGGGTTTAACAATTAACCCATCAAAAACAGAATACGTAGTGGTGGGAAATGGAGGACGACATTTAGAATTAAGAGGCACACAAATTAACACGGCTGATAGTTACAAAAGCCTTGGTGTACGAATAACAAATGATGGCCATAATACAAAGAAAATAGCAACTAGAATTACACAAGATAATAAGCAAAACGTCAACTGAATAATATAGCCTGTAATAACCATATCACTCGGAACACAAAAATTAGAATATATAAAAGCATCGTTGCAAAGTTGCAAAGTATTGCAACATATGGCTCACAGTCAGGTAATAAATAAAAAAGACGCCTCCAAAACAATGCTGCCAGCTAACTAAAAGGCACATGGTGAGAAATACTGAATTCAGAGAGCAAATCGGCATAGATATTGACTTCCTGGAGACTATAGAATGTACAAGGTTGAAATGGTATGGCCACGTCGAAAGGATTACAATTACAAATATTAAATTTGTATACAGGAAAAAATATGGTAACCGGATGTTTTCTTTTTGGCAAAATTTATATCCGCAGTTACGTTGTAAACGACAAAAAACAATAACAAAATTTATCAGCATGCATTCCAATACTCA